ATCCTCTCTCCTCTATCCCTCATGCTGTAGGTGAGGCCCACTTTCTTTTGGTGAGACTCCAGTAGAACCAAGTCACTCTCCTCACTTTAGAAATTAGGACAATACTTTGTGCTGCCCGGGAGAGCCCTTACCCTGAGTCTTCCCACAAAACTTACCACCATGGCAGATGCCTGGTCTCTGATTCCCTTATAAACACTCTCTTCTTTCCTTGAACATCCCTCCATCCACTAAGGTCTTCATGAATACCAGTTAAACCTTATGGATGGGAAGGGACAAACACCCTAATCCCAAGGAAATGACTGTTTTGTTGGATGGCTCAGTTATTATTGAGGAGTAACAACAACCCCAAAGCTTAGTAGCTTTAAACAACACAGTGTATACATTTGCCTACAACTCACTAAATTGGGGAAGGGATGGCTTCTCTCTACTTTATGTGTTGTTGGCTAGAGTGGCTCACCTGGCGCTAGGGAATCCAAAGTGATTTCACTTACACGTCTGGTGCCTCAGCTTCAGGTGGTTAGAACAGCTGGGAGTTGGCTGAGCCTCTCTCTCTCCATCTCTGTTTCTCTCTTCCTCTATCTCTCTGTCTCTCTTCCCCTATCTCTCTCTGTCTCTCCACAGTCTCTCTCTCCAGTAGAGTAGTTGGACAGTTATAGCCTGGCAGCTGCCTTACAAGAGGACAAAAATTGATACTACAATGCCGCTTAAGGCCTAGACCTGAAAGTCCCAGAATATCTCTCTTATGTTGCATTTTTATTCAAAGCAAGTCATAGAGCCGGCCCAGATTCAGAAAGAGGAAAAATAGACTCTACTTCTTGGGGGGCAAAGCATGTGGGCACAGGGATAGAAAGAACTGTTGACAGCCATGTTTGCACACTGGCCACCACATGATCCTAACACATGAAATTGATCCAGAATCACCAAGTTTTGCATGGATCCACCCTTCGGCTTTGCAGGTCTTGTGGGAGGGAGGAGAGTGGCCAGCAGGCTCTCTACAGGTCTTTCAGGGCTGGGAGTAGGATGGGCAGCTCCTTGGAGAAGGGAGAGTCTCAAGCTAGGTAGAGGAGAAGGAGCACTGGGTAGCTCCGGACCAAACAGTGGCTAGGCCAGGGGGTGTGAGTCCCAAGAGAGGAGATGATCTGGGAAGGCAGGGGAGGCCCTGGGACTTGCTTAGGTCTGGAGAGATTCTTGGGAAAGGCTCCAGGGGGGTATCTGAGCCAGTCTTATACAATTGGGGGAGGTGGCATTTTCATGTTCTCCTTCTTTTCTCCATGGTCTGTTTCAAGGCTGTTTCTCTCATCTAAGGCCGTGTGTTGCAATCTCTTGCGTGCTTAGGTTTCCGATCTTCCACTGACGAGCCCCAACCCCTAGAGACATCTCTTACTTGCCTTGCCTTGCCTTACCACACTTGGGGAAGTCTGGATTTCAGCCCTGGGTTTGGCCACCACTACATCCTCCCCCTGTCCCACTTTTCTTCTTGCCTGTTTGTGTTCAGTCTAGACGATTCATTTTTATTTGTTGATGTCCTGCCCTAGCCTGGGGCAGCTGTGGTGTGGTGAAAAGAGCACTAGATTTGGAGTCAGAAAAGCTGGTTTAAATTCTGGCTTGGCCATTTACTGACTGTGTATAAATTTGGGCAAGTTATTTACCTTCTCTGAGCCTCCTGCTTCTCATCTGCCAAGCAATAATAAGAAGCCCCATCTCCAGGGTGGCTAAGAGGAGACGGTACTAGCACTGACAAAGAGACCTCTGCTCTAATCCCTACCAGCTGACTTTGAGTTCACTTCTAGAAAATCCCTGCTCAAGTCCCCACCTGTCCAGCTAACCCTCCACCAACCACTCCTGGCATCTCTATAGAAATCCTGTGCTCACCTCCATAGTCTTGGGATGAAACCCTCAGTTCCAGGCCTCAGTTTAAACAACGTCAGTCATTTAACAAATGTTTATTGAGCATGTACTGTGTTCCAGGCACTGTTCCAGGAGCTGGAGATACAGTGAACAAAACAGACAAAAATCTCTTCCTTCATGGAGCTTGCATTCTAGCTGGGGGAGACAAACAAAAGGGGGAGTACGTTTTAAAGCTATACTGTCTGAAATGGTAGCCACTAGCCATGTGTATATTAAGCACTCGAAATGTGGCTACGACTAATTGAGACACGCAATAAGTATAAAATACGCACCAGATTCAAAGATTTATTTTTTCTTTACACCCGATTTCTGCCCTTGGACAGATGCAAAGACAGTACCAAAAGAGTATAGAATTTCTCATTAATAGGCTAAGTGCAGTGGTTCATGCCTGTAATCCGAGGCAGGTGGATCATCTGAGGTCAGGAGTTCAAGACCAGCCTGACCAATATGGTGAAACCCCCATCTCTATTAAAAATACAAAAATTAGCCAGGTGTGGTGGTGTGCGCCCATAGTCCCAGTTACTCGGGAGGTTGAGACAGGAGAATCACCTGAACCCAGGAGGCAGAGGTTGCAGTGAGTTGAGATCGCACCACTGCATTCCAGCCTGGATGACAGAGCGAGACTCCATCTCAAAAAAAAAAAAAAAATCTCATTAATAATGTTTACATTGATTAGATGCTGAAATGATATTCTAGATATGTTGGAGTTAAACTATTAAAATTAATTTTACCTTTTCACAGTTTTCAAACTCTGGCGCCTAGAAAATTTTAAACTCCGTAAGTGACTCACACTATATTTCTGTTGGTAGCATTGTTCTAGAGTCTGTTAGGCGGCTACATGCGCTATGGGGAAAAAGAAGGGATGGTGAAAAGGAGGTACGCAAGTGCAGAGTGGGAAGGGGGGCCAATCGTAAATGCAGTGGTCAGGGTAAGTCTCACTGAGAAGGTAACAAGACTTGAAAGTGAGGGATCCAACAACATGGGCCATGTGTAAGAAAGTGCTCCAGGAAGCGAGGACAGCCAGTGCAAAGGCTCTGTGGCGGGAGCATGCCCACTGCATCTGAGGAACGGAGAAACCAGCATGGCTGGAGCCACGTGGCCAAGGCAGGCCCCAAAGTCATTGAGTAGTCAGGGAGTCAGCCCAAATGGTGCAGGCCTTTTAAGGCCATTTGGGTTTTTCTCTGAGTAAAACTATCTCTGGAGGGTTTTGAGTCAAAAGGTGACAAAACTTAACTCACATTTTAACAGGCTCTCTCCAGCAGTTGTGTGAGATTCAGCTAAAGGAAGGCCAGGGGAGAATCCAGGAGACCAATTTAAAGGCTCTGGCAAAAATCTAGATGGGATGAAAAAAGTCCCTACCTGCCGGGCGCAGTGGCTCACGTCCGTAATGCCAGCACTTTGGGAGGCCGAGGCGGGCGGATCACCTGAGGTCAGGGGTTCGAGGCCAGCCTAGCCTACAATGGTGAAACCCCATCTCTGTGAAAACACAAAAATTAGTCGAGTATGATGGCGCGTGCCTGTAATCCCAGCTACTTGGGAGGCTGAGGTGGGAGAATCCCTTGAACCCGGGAGACGGAGGTTGCAGGGAGTCGAGATCACGCCATTCCACTCCAGCCTGGGCGACAGAGCAAGACTCCAGCTCAAAAAAAAAAAAAAAAAAAAAAAGCACCTACCTCCCAGGGCTGCTGTACAGATTCAGTGTAGGGGCCGGCACGTGGTCAGTGATTGGGAAAGGAGCACTTACTAGACCAAAAGCTGCCTAAGGCTGAGACCTTGCAATGGCCCGCACTGCCAGTCACCAAAGGTGCTTCCCCACCCTCAGTGCAATTCCTCCTGGAAGACTACAACAGCCTCTACCAGCCTCTCTGCCCCCCATACTGTTGCCAGGCACCTATGGAAAAGTGTATCTGACTGGGCTGCTCAGTGTTTAAAGCCCCTCAGCTGCTGCTCATCCCTGACAGGCCCTAGGCAGTTGGCATGGTGCTGCAGGCTCCCCTGGAGCTAACCCCTGCCCATGTCTCCAGCCTCCACCCCGCCCACCCACTCCCTGCCCAAGTGCCACCTTCATGCCTTGCTCACACTATCCCCTCTGCCTGGGATGTCCTCAACCCTTTCACCCCCTCCCCCCGTTCTCCCTGTCTTCAAACCATTTTTTAAGTGGCAGCCTAGAGATAACGTCGTAAGACACCACCCCCCAGCCACCACCCCCAATACAACTTCCACCCCCAAGCTAGATCAGACGCCCCCAGCACATTTTATGTATTTTTCTGCTCATGGATTTATAGTTTTGTCTCCCCCCACCCACTCACCCTCACCAGATCCTTGAGGGGTAGAATTGTGTCTTATTCATAGCACACAATGACTGGCTCAATATTTATTCAATCCATATTTATGATTTGCAAGAATAAATGAGAGGCTAAAGGAAGTGAATTTGGAAGCACTGCTCTTCAATGCCAAAGACCTGGACAGGTGCCACTTTACCCAGAAGCAGGACATGAGAGAAGAGCTTATGGCAAGCTGGAGCAGGGAGTGCCATCAGTGATGACCAGACCTATGGGTCCATCTTCCAGAGGCTCAAGGAACTCCAGGGTGTAACTATGCAAAATTAAGTTACACCCTGGGGTCACAGCCCTCCAGCAGCATCCCCTTCCCACTCCCAGCCTGTTGCAGCCAACAAGACCCCCACAGACAAAAACAGCTTTCTCCTGTCTCCTGGGCAGCAAGCTTGGAGACATGGCCAGTTCTTTCCCTGGCTAAGGGACAGAGGCCTGGATTATCTAATTCCTGAAGGCAGCACTACCAATTGCAAGGGCCCTTGGCTCCTGTCTTATAAGCTGTTTCTCCCTCTCCACCCATTCCCAGAGCTTACCACCTTCTATATCAAGACAGGATGGATGGGTTCCCCCAGGACCAGCTCAGCCAAAATGGAAGGACTTCACCCCCAGCACAAGGTGGGTCACCCCATATCCTACACATTAGACATACTTTTCCCAGACCCAAGACAAATGCCATGTTCCCCAAAGGAAGAGGGAAAGGGGGCGGGAGGAAGTCTAGAGCAAGGATTCAATGGAGAAGGAGAAACCAAGAGGAGCTTTGAGATCAGAATTAAATTCTTTAATACAAAATGCTTTTTTTTTTTAAGATATATCTGTATTTCTTTGTCGTTGTTTAAAAATAAATATGTACTACGGAATATCTCGAAAAACTGCACTAGAGACAAAGACGTGATGTTAATATCTTTTCCCCACAATTATTACGGATAAACAGTAGCACCAATAAATAAATGATAACAAATATTAAAATTAAAAAAGGAGAGAGATTTAGTATGTAGAATTCTCTATTTTTTCTTGTTTTGTTTTTACATATAAAAAACAGAATAGCAATGTCTATTTTATCAGAATCACATATATACATAAACATATATATATATATACACACAAATACAAGTTGCCAAATATATATATAGTATGTAGATGTATATTGAAACCTTATTTCAAAGGAATGTGTGCTGGGGAGCCAGGGGAACGGGGAGGGCAGAGCTAAGTGTTAGCAAAATTAAATATCTGTTCAAGATAAGCTAGTGACTGTCACCGATCAGGGAGAGAGAGATTGGAAACATGAATTTTATATACAAAAACCGGTACAAATAAGAGAGCGAGAGAGAGCAAAAGATACATCTCATAAATAGTTGAAATTAAATATTAACCAAGAATACTGAAAAAAACCCTACTCTTTAATTAAATTAACTGTTTTAATTTCTAATTAAAAAGGGATATTAAATAAGTACCGTATATAAAACACTTTCTCTTTTCTCTGCCTCCACAATGGGCACGTGGATCCTGCCCTGTCTCTCTGTGCCTCGGGAAGGGAAGGGAAGGACCAGGGGATGGAGGAAGGTCAACCACTCACACACATACAACCAGGTCTCCTGGGGGGACAGAACTAGTGGTTTCAATGGTGTGAGGACATCAGGTCCTTTTAGGCTACACCCCAGGAAGGGGAGCAGGAAGAGGACGAGGGTGAATCCCAGGAAGGGGAGCTGTCATGGGCTGCTTCTTCCAACAATGTGTCTCTTCTCTTCGCTGGGCCATCTGCCAGTGGCCTCCTGGGCAACTCAGAAGCAGGTGAGAGAAGTGAAGGCCGCCCAGGCTCCTGAATCTTCCAGGCGCTGCCCCTGGGGGCGAGATGCGCATGCAGCATGTGGAGGGAATCCCCAAAGCACAGCAATGTCCTGAAGCTCCCCAAACTCCTAGTCAGAGCCAGTGTCCTCGTCCCTGTACCTGTCATCTGTCTTTCTGTCCATCTGACCCGGGGTAGAGGCTCGGTGCCAGGGCTGGGTTTGTCGGTGTTCCCAAAAGTGGGTCATATTTGCCCCCATACCCTGGCCTTGCACGTTCCTGGGCAGGGGAGAGGACCCTGGCCCCACCAAGTGGGACAAAAAAAAAGATCATGCCAGAGTCTCTCGTCTCCTCCTCTTCCCTGTCAGGATCTGAGTGGGAACATTCCCCCTCCCAACTCAAGTCCACAGCAGTCAAATACATCCAGTGAAGACACCAATAACATTAGCACTGTTAATTTAAAAAAAGAATATATATATTTTATATATATAAAATATAGATATTTATTTTTATATATATAATATATATATATATATAAATGTATGTATGTGGGTGGGTGTGTCTACAGGAATCCCAGAAATAAAACTCTCTAATCTTCCGGGCTCGGTGATTTAGCAGCAAGAAAAATAAAATGGCGAATCCAATTCCAAGAGGGACCATGCTGGGTCACCCGCCCGGGAATGCTTCTGCCGGAGTCTCGCCCTCCGGACCCAAAGTGCTCTGCGCAGAGTCTCCTCTTCCTTCATTTCAGGTTTCTGGATTAAGGACTGTTCTGTCGATGGTGATGGTGTGGTGGCGGCAGCGTGGTTTCTGTATCGATCGTTCTGTATCAATCTTTCCTGGTGAGAGATCTGGTTCCCGAAACCCTGAGGGAGGCTCCTTCCTCCTGCCCGGCTCACCGCCTCGGCTTGTCACATCTGAGGGAAATGGAAAACAAAGGCTGGGGTTAGGACCAAGTGAGGAGGCCTGGCGATGAGGCAGGCGGCCTCCCCATTCCTGGGGGACCCTGGGTCACTGCAGCCTCCAGCACCATAAGAGCAGAGAGGACAGGAAGGTGTGGTCCTGGGGCAGAAAGTCCCAGTGTGAGAACAGCCCCAGCCCCGCCCTCAGGGAGCCCTGGTCTGAGCAGCAGCTCCGCTCAGGGGCTCCCAGTCTACCCTCCGGAGCTTGCAATCTACTTGAGACAAGACAAGGACACGGGAACACTTTACAAAGCAACAAATGAACGGATACCAAAGAACAGTCCCCACTTGACATTTTAAGAGCTGATGGGTGACGAGAGCTGGATGAAGTTAATCAGAAGAGGTTCCCTGCTGAGGAGGTTTTTCAGTTCAGTCTCTAGGGGCTGGTGTGGGGAAGAGAGTAGGCAGGTCACCTGGGAGAACGCCTGAGACAGAGAGGCTTGGCTGGGTGGCCAGCAACGGGAAGGGCCTGCCCTGGGGACAGGAGGCTCCCGAGGGGGTAGTGTAGAGCAGGAGGCCCCAGCAAGGTAAGGGAACATCTCCATTCCCCATGTCCCCTCCCAGTGTGGCTGTAGGCCTCATCTCTCCTGAGCTGCCTGGAGGTTACAAGCCCAGGTACCAGATTGTCTTTCCTTTCAAATATGCTGCTTCACTTAGGATAGGGAGAGACAATTTGGCGGCTTCACGACTCCTGCCGAAGCAAAGGGGGCCTCCAAGAATTTTCTCAGCATGCCCCTACCCCTGGGTGATTGTGAGGAGGAGGCAGAACAGGCCCTACCCTTCTGGGGAGCCCAGAAATGGGAGTCCAAAGCTCCCAATTTTGGAAACTGATATTCCCAGGTACAGCCAGCTTGGGGGTTGGATAATGGTATTGGGAGGTTAGGGTAACCAGTTAACTCCCAGGTCACTTCACACAAACCCCCATCAGCAGAATCATCACCAAAAAACCCTAAAATGTCAAGTCCCTTATCTTCCCCAAAGACCCCTGGGGAACTGAGACTCCCCTCATCCAGCCCTGAAGTTAGGCAGAGCCCCCACCCCCAGCACTAATAACACCCTCTTGGTTTCACATAGGGCCAAGACATATAGAACCCCACACCAACTACCCAGGCCTGGTTCCCAGCATCCCCTGAGCATCCACAAGCCACAAGAACATTGCTGGGGGAGGGGAGACACTCCAAGGACTTCCCTAACGCAGCCTCAGGGCGAGCTGGGGGTGCCTTGGCCCTGTCTAGGAAATCCCCATAAAAGTCTTGCCTCCCTGAGTGAAGCTGACCCTGACCCCCAGGGCCTTCCTCACTCTGAGCACAGGCCAAGTTGGTATAAAGAACACAGGCTAAGGCATTAAAAGATTGCCAGCCACCTGTCACGGCCCTGTGCTCCTGACCTCACCCCCTGAACTGACTCACACATTCAGTCACGCACTTGACACTTCCTTGGTACCCAGTATGGACAAGGGACAGAGGTACAGATGCCCAGGGCTCACAAAGGTAAGTAAACCAGGCCCGGCTTATGGAGCTCACAGTCTAATGTCAGGAGAATGGGCACAGAACCCTCCCTTCACGCATCCTGGGAGCACTCGAAAATGTGTGGGCTGTTTGGGGTTGTCACCATGACTGGTGGAGGATTAAAGGTATCTAGTATTCTTGGATGTTACAGCTCCTTCAGTGTGTAGGCAAAACTGCCCCATCCTAAACCAACAGCCAGAGCCCTTGCCCTCAGAGAGCCCTAGTCTGAGGGGGGAGACATAGCCCTGTCCTCAGGGAGCCCCAGTCTGAGGGGGGAGACACAGCCCTATCCTCAGGGAGCCTCAGTCTGAGGGCGGAGGCAGGCCCTGTCCTCAGGAGCCCCAGTCTGAGGGGGAGACACAGCCCTATCTCAGGGGAGCCTCAGTCTGAAGGAGGCATAGCTCTGTCCTCAGGAGCCCCAGTCTGAGGGGAGACATAGACCTGTCTCTCAGGAGCCTCAGTCTGAGGGGAGAGACACAGCCCTATCCTCAGGGAGCCCCAGTCTCCACGGGCTAGAGGCAGCTCTGCCCTCAGGAGCCCCCAGTCTGGAGAGGGGAGACATGGCCCTGTCCTCAGGAGCCCCAGTCTGGCAGGGGAGACATGGCTCTGTCCTCAGGGGAGCCCCAGTCTGGAGGAGGGAGACATGGCCCTGTCCTCAGGGAACCCCAGTCTGAGAGGGGAGACATGGCCCTGTCCTCAGGGAGCCCCAGTCGGAGGGGAGAGACATAGCCCTGGCCTGAGGGAGCCTCAGTCTGAGCAGAGAGACAGCCCTATGTGCAGGGAGCCCCAGTCTGAGGGGGGAGACATATCCCTGTCCTCAGGGAGCCCCAGTCTGAGGGGGGAGACACAGCCCTTTCTTCAGGAGGCCCAGTGCAGGGAGGGCTGGCCCTTTCCTCAGGAGGGCCCCAGTCTGGGGGAGGAGACACGGCCCTTTCCTCAGGGGCCCAGTCTGAGGGAGACATATCCCTGTCCTCAGGGAGCCCGGTCCTGAGGAGGAGACACAGCCCTTTCCTCAGGAGGCCCAGTCTGAGGGAGGGGAACTGCAGCCCTTTCCTCAGGGAGGCCCAGTCTGAGGAGGGGACACAGCCCATGCTCCTCAGGAGGCCCAGTCTGGGGAGGGGGCACGGCCCTTTCCTCAAGGAGGCCCAGTCTGAGGAGGAGACACAGCCCTTTCCTCCGGGAGGCCCAGTCTGAAGTGGACTCCAATCCTTCCCCATCAAAAACATTGAGTGAGTGAGAGCCCCAGCCATGCAGACTTCCGAGGCCGAGGGGCAAGGCCCCAGTAGGGCAAATCCACGTGCTTTGTTGACACTGTCCACCTGGAATCGAAACTTTCAGCTTCTCAGCATTAGTACCAGAGGTAGTAATAACATCAGGACAAACAGCCACTATGAGGCGAGAGGACCACAGGACACAACACACAGCTTGCGTCCACACCACCACACTCAAACCCACCGACCTACCACTCAGGCAACCAGGCAACCTCAAACAGGCCCACCAGTGGACCACGCCTGCTGACCACACCACCAGGGCCTTAAAAGCAGAGAAGGCAAGCAGTCACAGGCAGGCAGCTAGAAACTAAGGCAAGCAGCTGGCCCCTCTCAAGCACTCTCTGTGCTCGCTCGCTTTCTTTCTCTCTCCCCATCTCTTTGATGCACCCCTCTCTGACCTGCTTGCCTCACCAGGGCCCAACCTGCAAGTCGTTCGTTTAACTCAAGCTGCCTCGCCTTGCTTGTGAGTCTGTGTTTTTGCAGGAACATTTACAAATCTCTGGATCTTATTTCAAACAAATGCTTTCTCCGCTCTGAGCAAGGCCCACAGGGACTGCAAAACAAAGGAAAGACATCTAGCTAGAACATCAGCAGAGAGAGAAAAAAAATCACCATACAACACTAACGTGTCGCAGCTGCACACACACCCAGCTGAGTCAGCCCCAGGCCCTGGAAGGATCCGAGCTACAGCCAGAAGACAGAGAGCGGCGGAAAGAGGCAGCACTGGCTAGGACACCTCACCGCCAGGAAGGCGGGCACAGGCGGGCAGAGAGTGCGGGGAGGCTGCCATAGGGGGTAATGCGTCACAGGAGACCAGGGGTGGTCTCAGACCACAGGGACTAGCTGTGCCACTTCCCCCGCCAGACACGCCTTGACTCTTCACCTGCTGGGGATGGCAATCAGGGGCCACCTTCTCCCTCGCCGCAAGGCTCATGCCCAGGCCCTTCCACCAAGGTGGGCTAAAGTAGGGTGTGATGGGAGGCTAAGCCCAGAGGCAGTGTCCTGAGCCCGGAGGCTGTGGTGACCAGAGAGACCCAGGGCAGGCCCACCATAGCCTCCAACCCAGGCGAAGAGGCCGTCTGCAGGGAGGGCCCTCTGTAGGTGCCATGGGTTGGAGGCTGGAATGGGGGCTCCCCTCCCAGAGCCCAACTCAGCTGAGAGCCAGGCACTTCCACCAGATGAAGGGGAGGCTGCCATGAGTGCTGATCCCACCAAGCTCCTCCTTCAGCGAGAATTAATTCAACAGCTGCCTAAGTCATTCACAGCCCTTCTTGGGCCATGTCTGCCCTCACCACCTCAGCTGGGCAGGTGCAAGCCTGAAACAATGAAACAGTTGAGGTGACATTTGCCCGATGCCAACATGGAGCCCATCACCAGTGCCAGTGGGTGAGAGAAAATCGGTGCCCAGCCAAGCCAGTCCCCCTCCCTTCATCCTCCAGGCCAAGTTGGCTTTGTTTACTATTTACAGACCAGCAGCACACCAATCTACCCGTTGGTGCCAATTAGTGGGTAGAGTGAGAGAGACACGGAGCCAGGGGGATGAGAGCCAGGGGAGGGACCCCAGGAAGGCAGAGGTTACAGGGTATCAGCAGGCAGAGTTGGACTGGGAGTTCAGGAGGCTCCAGAATTGGACAGCAGCCCGGGCACCAGCGTACACGCTCAGGACTTATACCGGGATTTCTTGCGCTTTCGTTTTGCCTCCCGCACCATAAGACTGATTTTCTGGAAAATAAAAACAGAGACAGAGAGGCGGGGGCAGTGGGGGAGTCAAAGAAGCGGTGAGAGGGCAGGGATGGAGGCAGCCAAAGCAAAGCCACACAGGCCGCTTCCTGGAGGAAGTATCAGAGCAGGTGGTCTCTGGGGAGGCATGCACAGGCACGCACAGGCGTGTCTGGGCAGCAAGCACTCGATGGCTCTTTTTCTTCTCCTCGTCTGAGGGAGGAGACACAGCCCTTTCCTCAGGGAGGCCCAGTCTGAAGTGGACTCAATCCCTTCCCCCATCAAGAAACATTGAGTGAGTGAGAAGCCCAGCCATGCAGACTTCAAAGGGCCGAGGCAAGGCCCCAGTGAGAGCGTCACGTGCTTTGTTGACACTGTCCACACCTGGAATCGGCTTTCAGCTTCTCAGCATTAGTACCAGAGGTAGTAATAACATCAGGACCGACAGCCACTATGAGCGGAAGGACCACAGGACACAACACACAGCTTGCGTCCACACCACCACACTAAGCCACACCAGCCTACCACTCAGGCAACCAGGGCAACCTCAGAACAGGCCCCGCCAGGCTGGACCAGCGCCTGCAGCCCACCACAGGGGCCTTAAAAGCAGAGAAGGCAGCAGTCACCAGGCAGGCAGCTAGAAACTGAGCAAGCAGCTGGCCCCTCTCAGGCACTCTCTCGCTCGCTCGCTCTCTTTCTCTCTCTCCCCATCTCTATGTGATGCCCCTCTCTGACCTGCTTGCCCTCTGGGAACCAACCTGCAAGTACGTTCGTTTAACTCAAGCTGCCTCGCCTTGCAACGCGAGTCTGTGTTTTTGCAGGAACATTTACACGTCTGCGGATCTTGTACAAACAAATGCTTTCTCCGCTCTGAGCAAGGCCCACAGGGACTGCAAAAAGGCAAAAGGAAAGACATCTAAGCTAGAGCATCAGCAGAGAGAGAGAAAAAAAATCACCATGCAACACCCCCTAACACGTCCGCAGCTGCACCCCCACCCAGCTGGTCAGCCCCCAGGCCCTGGAAGGATCCGAGCGCTACAGCAGAAGACAGAGAGAGCGGCGGAAAGAGGCAGCACTGGCTAGGACACCTGCCGCAGGAAGAGGCGGGCACAGACGGGCAGAGAGTGCGGGGAGAGGCTGCCATAAGGGGTAATGCTACGTCCCTGGGAGACCAGGGTGAGTCTCAGACCACAGGGACCCAACTGTTGCCGCCCCCATCGGAGCACGCCTTGACTCTTCACCTGCTGGGGATGGCAATCAGGGGCCACCTTCTCCCTGTACAAGGCTCATGCCCAGGCCCTTCCACCAAGGTGGGCTAAAGTAGGGTGTGATGGGAGGCTAAGCCCAGAGGCAGTGTCCACAGGCCAGGCTGCTGGTGACCAGAAGACCCAGGGCAGGGCCCACCATAGCCTCCAACCCAGACGAAGAGGCCGTCCTACAGGGAGGCCTCTGTGGGTGCCATGGGTTGGGCTGGAATAGGGGGCTCCCCTCCAGAGGCCCCAACTCCGTGAGGAGCCAGGCACTTCCACCAGATGAAGGGAGGCTGCCATATGGTGTCTGATCCCACCCAAGCTCCTCCTTCAGCCGAGGAGTCATTCAACAAGCTGCCTCCAGTCATTCACAGCCCTTCTTGGGCCATGTCTGCCCTCCCCACCACCCTCCGCTTCCAGACGAGTGCAGAAGCCTAGAGCAATGGAAACCAGTTGGGTGAGCAGGCACCCGTGCCAACATGGGCCCATCACCAGTGCCCAGTGGGTGAGAGAAAATCGGTGCCCAGCCAAGCCAGAGTCCCCTCCCTTCATCCTCCAGGCCAAGTTGGCTCCCCCATTCACCCCAACCCTGGACCAGCAACGCCACCACCAAATCTACCCGTTGGTGCCAATTAGTGGAGTGAGAGTGAGAGAGAGACACGGGCCAGGGGGATGAGAGCCAGGGAGGGACCAGGGGAAGGAGGCAGGGTTACAGGGTATGGCAGGCAGAGGTTGGACTGGGGGCCAGGGAGGCTCCAGGGAATTAGACAGCAGCGGGCACCAACGTACACGCTCCAGGACTTATACCGGGATTTCTTGCGCTTTCGTTTTTGCCCCTTTCCCTTTCCTCGAACTGATTTTCTGGAAAATAAAAAAACAGAGACAGAGAGAGAGCGGGGGCAGTGGGGGGAGTCAAAGAAGCGGTAAGGAGGGCAGGGATGGGGGAACGACCAAAGCAAAGCCACACAGAGCCGCTTCCTGGAGGAAGTATCAGGAGGCAGGTGGTCTCTGGGGAGGCATGCACAGGCACGCACAGGCGTGTCTGGGCAGCAAGCACTCGATGGCTCTTTCTTCTCCTCAAGCTGCCCACCCTGGGATGGCAAACCCAGTCCCTGACAAGGCTTTGGTGGGAAACCGAGACTGGGTGGAGGGCACAGGGCCCAAGGGTCTCCATGCTCACAATGGCGCCCGGTCTCCAGCAGGGGGCTAAGCCTGAGGGAAGGCTCTTTGCCCAGCAGCCCTGTCCAAGTCTGACCCTGAAGGTCAGGGGGTGATAAAAGGTAGGCCAGACTTTGGGGAGAAGGTCAGAGACCTGCCTGGATGGGGAGCAGGAGTGGGAGGGCAGGCTGTGCGTCAGGCACCTTCTGCCTTCATTTCCGACTGTGACAGAACCTCTGGGAATCCCAGTGTGGGGGAAGTGGCTACCTTGGGAGCTGGCACAGAACCAAGAGCAACACCAGCCTGCTCAGTGCGACCTGTACTGGGAGGCAGGGCTGGGTGTCCTGGAGCCCTGGGCAGGCAGCAGGGTGGGGTGGGAGTTAAGGAGGGCTGGGGAGGAGGGGCTTGGGCGGTACTTGGCAGAGAGTTCTCTCCCCAGCCTGTCAAAGCCTGCTACACCATCTCACCAGACACTCTTCCGAGCCCAGGCGAGCCCCCGACTCTACCCGTGGCAGAGCAGTCATTTGGGGAAGTTGGAAGGGGGGGCAGGCTGTAGCCTGTCCCCTTCAAGAGAACCAGCGCTCTCCATGCCTGCCAGACCCAAGAGAACACACCTCAGAATGTCTGTCACAGGGAAGAAAGGAGGGGGAGAAGGGACCAGAGAGGGTAAGTCTGTCCCCCTTAGGAGAAAGCACCAAAGGGTGGAAGGAAGGTTTCCGCATCCTCTCGTTCTGGAAGCTGGGGGCTGAGGGAAGAGGCAAGGGGTTGAGGCCTGGCGGGGGCTTCAATGTCCCCACAGCACTGGAGGCAGACAAGATGGTGTGGGGGAAAGGGCAGGGCACAGGTGCTCTCTCTCAGTCTCTCTTTCCCTGCAAGCTCTTGCCGATGCCAGTCGCTCACCCTGTCTTGAAGGGTTACTGCCACCAGACCTTGTCCCCCGCCCCATCCTACCCGCCCCTTAAAAAGGAGCACTCACAAGCCTCTGAAAATGACCAACATTCAACTTTTTCTCCCTGGCCAAGAGGGCTGTGTGTCTGCCGCCTGCCGCCTACAGGAGGGCATGCGCTGAGAAACCACCCTCCAGCCGGCCTTGCATCCAACTGCACCATCACAGTAGCCACCAAAAGAGGCCATTTCCTCTGACACACAAAAGCTGGCCTCTCTGCCACCCACTCCCTCTCCCCACTGTGGGTGCCCTAGAGCAAGCCAGTGAACCAGTGTCCACAGTGCCCCCTGACACACCAAAACAGCAAGTCCTGGCAAGGAATGATCTGGAGACCCGGAAGGCACTGTCCCTTACAAAGGAAGTGCCAGGCTCCTGGCTGGGTTTTCTCACTAGCCCTAGAGCCATCATCCTGGAGTTGGCTCCATCCCATTGTTGCTGACACCACAAGTCCCCCACAAGACCAAGTCCCTGACCCCGGGAGGCTATGGGAGCCCCCAACAGAGGTAGCCAAGAGCCCCAAACCAAGATAACCGGCCACGGAGAGGGAGAAGTGCTAAAGTCAGGGCCACTTACTTTTCTTGTCTTGCTCTATCTTTCTTTGGTCTGCAATGGGTAGGAAGAGAGAAAAGAACAAAACAGAGAAGGGTTAAGATGGTAATGATAATGACAGGGAAAACAACAATAATAATCACAGTAAAAACAGCATTTATTATGGAGCAACACTGTTTTAACCTTCTCATATATAACTTGTTTAATCCTTATAACAATGCTATGAAGTACACTACTATTGTGCCCATTTTACAGATGTAGAAACTGAGGAACATTGAAGTAAAATGCCAAAGGTCACACAGCTGGAAGCTGCATGTGGGCTAAAAAGTACAACATGCTTAACCCTGGCACAGATCAGACACCCTGCAGCCACTTGCTGATAATGAATCCGCGACTACATCCTCACCTGCATTCACATTTGTTGTGCTGTAGGAAGCTCATCTCTCCTATGTGCTGGCCTTGGTGAGGTTTGATCCGCATAATCTGGAGGGGAAGGAAGCAGATCACAGAGGTTAGTGACCCAGCCAGCCATACCCAGATGGGACAACCCTGGGGCTCCTGCCACTCAGCACCCAGGGGTTCTGCAGAGCAGGGATGGGTGGTGGAGACAGGGAGGACCAAGAGCTCTAGCAGGAAAGAGGCTCAGGCCCACCCCAACTCCCCCAACCCTGCTGGCCTCAAGGAGCCCTTGTTCCACTTGAGGCCAAGACAAGGCTGCAAGGGTTGGCCAGGCTGGGAATTCAAATCCTAGGTTCTTACCACTCCCCATGCCCTCCCCTTCTTTCATCCTCTCTAGGCTTCACCCTGACTCCTAGCAGATACCCAAAAGCAACCCCCTCCCTGTGTTTCACAGCTCCCTCCCACCCTATCTGGGCTGAGATATGCCCCATTACCAGGTAACACCAAAGACTTTTTAAACTCTCCATGGACCAGGCTCATTCAGCTTCCCAAACAGAGCCCCCAAGAAGAGAGGGCCCTCAGGATTCTCTCCAAGAGAGGGAGAGAGGGGCCTCTGACACAGGCATCCATCTGCCCCGTCCTGAGCCAGGGAGGAGGAGATGGTTGGGGCTTGCTGGGAACCTGGGCTGGGAATACAAGCATCTTCTTCACAGAAGGCAAGACCCTACCACACCTCCCCTGTGCAACTCAGGGGCAGGAGCCAGACAAGTCAAGTCTAGCCAGAAAATGACCTGGGACCACCTGTTCCCAAAGTGTTACGCCCCTCCCTATCCCCTCCTGCCCCCACTTCCCAAAGATGCCCACCTGCATGGTGATGTTGGACTCCTCAGTGGGCACACACTCCAGGCCCTCGTCATTGCAGCAGCCCCCACATCGCATCAGGGGCACACAGGACGGCTTGAAGATGTACTCAATCTCATCAGGGTACTCCTGGAAGATGTCCACCAGGGTCTCGATTGGATGGCAGTAGCTGCGCTGATAGACATCCATGAACTTTACCACTGCATGAGAGGCGGTGACACATGAGCCCAGTGGACGACACAAAAGATGGCTAGCCCCTCTCTCCACCCAGCTCTGTAAAGCCACTCCTTAGAGCTTCCGTATGAGGCAAGTCCTTCTAAAAACCTACGTCCCTCCTACTGTGTTTGAAGCACTTCCCTAAGCTTTCCACCATCAACACTGGTGAAGGCCTGTTTTCATTCCAGAGATCACACGATATACTCAAGTTCCAAGGGACATGGCCTGCCACATCTGATCCCACCACCTCACTGTGACAGCTGAACTGAATCCTGGGCCAACCTCGATGCCAGAGGACAGTTTGAGTGTCAGTATACCTCATGGGGATGTTGTAAGCTTTCCCTAAAAGGAGGAAAAGCCAGCTTTGCCAAGCTAGTCTCCAGTTTCCTACATCCTCCCCACAAACACTACAATAACATCAACCACACCAACAGCTATTTATTGAGCACTTACTACATCCTGGTTACTGTGTACAGTAGTCCATAGCTATCATCTCACACAAGTTTCTCCACATGGGACTATGAGACACTGTTGAGATTCCATTTTACAGATGGGGAACAGGAGGCTCAAAGAGGCTAAGTTGCCCCAAGGCTGCACAGCTAGTAAGTAAAGGAGTCAGAATTAGCTGACATCAAAGTGTTCCCAAGCCTATACTAGGCAAAAACAGAGGAGGCACCTTTCAGGAGGAGGCACTTTTCCCCCAGCCAGTCCCCTTCCCCAGACATGAGCTGAGAAGGTGGTGGGCCTCAGCACAGGGGCTGGGCCCTCCTGGAACCCACAGGTGGCAGTGGGTGGACACGCTGTGCCAGCCCTGCCAGCCACTGATAACCCCGCCCAAGAGGGCAAACTGCTTGCATCATGGAAAAAACAGTGCTACCACCGTAGCCACGAAACATTTCTAGAAGCTGATCTGAAGGGAGACCAGGGTAGAGACAGTTTCCCAAGCTGGCTGTGGAGCCTGGGGTGCACTGGAGCATGAAGGGGTAATTCTGGGCCACAGGGGCGGGGCCCTTGAGAATAAATAAATGCAGGACTCTGGCATGACTACTCCAAATTGTGGCCCAGCCTGCCACTCCTATCGCACCCCACCACCACTGCCACATAGCAATCCTGTCCCTGAAATGGGTTCCCTACCCAGAGGGAAGAAATAACAGCTGGCCAGTGAGGAGGCCCAGGCTCTGGTCATGAGTTGGTGTGACCTTGGGCTAGTCCCTCCCCTCACTAGGCCTCCAACTCTGCTCAACTGTGTAAGTGGGTTGGGCTGATCTCTAAAGATGCTGAAACAGGCTGAAAAGGTGGAGTTTTGGCTTCCATTTCCAGCCCTGGGAACAAGTGCTCTTTTTTCAGCCTGGGTAATATGAAGTTTAGAACTTCATCAAAGCATCTTAAGTGTATGCCTCGTGGACTTCCACCCCAGCTCCCAACCCCCACCCCCAGAGGCCACAGCTGAGCCTCCCCCTCACTCCTCCCTCCAAGGTCTGCTTTCCAGAAGAATAAAGGACAATGAGGGGGGCTATGTACACAACAGGTTGATTGGGAAGAAGGTGAGGAGAATCCACAGGTGTGAAAACAGAAAGAACAGTGGGGGAACAGGCCAGTCCACTGCCTCCTGTGAGGTCTCTACTTCTTTTATCCAGACCACCAATGGGCACAGAATCCTTCTCTACCCACCAAGGGTTACAGCAAAGCATCATCAAAAGGAGTGAACGAGACCAGAAGTCTGAAAAGGTCATTTTTTAAATCCAAGTCAATACGGAAGAAGATGACTAATCAAGAAGTTTTGAACTGCCCCTTCATCACGATTGGGACAGAGGAGGGCCAGGCTTGTGGCCCAGGAGGGGATAGAAAAAGGTCTGGCCTGGGCAAGGGGTTGGTAGCTGAGGGTAAAAAGACCTGGGGTAGGAATTCCTTCAAAAAGTTTCCCCTCCATGGGAGGTGGAGGGGGATAACCTCACCCGCACCCTTCATCAGGCAGCCGCCCCTCCAAGGGCTGGCCTCCACTGCCTGGGGAGCACACACATACACTCCAACACCAGGTTTTCGTGGTTTTCCTTATTTATCGCAGACAACCTTTTCTCCAGCAAACAAAGACCATCTGTCTTGCCTCTCCCAGACCAGAGACCACTGGGAAGCTGAAAGGAGTAAGTGGCGCACTAGAAGCAGGGGGCCGGTGAGTGGCTGAGAAGCCATGTCCTAGGCCAAGGAAAGGGCTCCTGGGGTAGGGAAGGAGGAGGCAGAACAGGCTGGGCATCACCACTGCTGGCTACTACCCAGCCATGCCGGATTTAGGTCAGGAAAACTCGCCTGAAGGAAGACCCAGGGCCTTCCCTCCCCAGAGGTGGAGAGCACAGGCCACAGTCAGTGGTGGGGAGAGCCAGGGTGTCCCCAGAGAAATGGGAGGATCCAAACCACAACGGAACAAAAGGCAGGCGGACTCGGGGTTGGGCAGGGGGGTGGGGCGCCTGGGAGCTACAGCCAGCCCTCTGCTGGCCTGGGAGGGAAGTTCACAGCACCCGAACATAGTCAAGTGGGGCTTTCTCCACCCCCAAAGGAATGCAAAGCAGGGAAGGGAGGGGAGATCCTATTAGGCTGAGTCCTCTGTACCTCCAGCTCACACAGGAAGGGTCACAGTTCCCACAAGTGGGACACAGCTATATAGGAAATGACACTAAATGTCCACCCTCCCCCAGGAGCTAGGGGAGACGAGGGACACTTACTTCCCCCAACATCTAGGATCCCTGAACACTGTCTTCCTGCTCTGTGCTCACAATTCCTTCTCCGAATAAAATTTTACTGGAAAGAGCAGAAGAAAAAGGCAACAACTCCTACTTCTAGCAGAGACCTGAACAGCGGAGAGTCCTCACGAAACTGAGGGTGAACCTCATGGTGCCCAGCTCTTTCTTTCTTGATCCTCATATTCCTGTGCCCCTTCCCCTTCCTCCCCACAGGTCTGAAGAAAAAGGAATTAGGCCATCCACCCATCCCCTGAGAGGGCAGGGAACCCCATCCAAAAGCCAGGGAGACTCACCTTCGTGATGATTCTGCCCTCCTCCTTCTGCCATGGGTGCAGCCTGGGACCACTGAGGACAGAAAGAAAGCAAGGCATGGGCATGGGCAGGGGCTGGGGTGCACAGGCCCAGCCACCCAGCCCCTCCCCCCTCCTCGCTTCCCTCCCACCAACAGCCTCTGGCTTCTCCAAGTCGTCTGAGTCGAGCAGGACACAACCGGGGGTCCCCACGAGCACAGAATATGCCCACCACTCCTGAACTGCTATGATTATAAACCCGAGGAAGTTAAAGACTAACCAGATGCTGGGGGCTGGGGAGCTCGAAATGCAGGAGGGAAACCCCAGAATGCTTCACCGTCCAGGTCCCCTGTACCTTCCCCACACTTCCCTCTCACCACCCCCCTGATTTCCTGGTCCAAAGCCATGGTAAGTATTAAGGTCAAATAAGAGGACAAATTTGGACTGGGGCAGGAAGGAAGGACTGGGGGCGAGGAAAACAACATGGTGACCTTCTCCTGCTGACATGACAAATACCAGGGTGAGCTGGTGTTGGAGAGGGAGGGGGGTGCTGAGGACCGAAGGGCGCCAACCGCCCTCCCCCATCCAAGTTCTTCCAGTCCTAGCATGCCCACAGGTTGCTTCGAGGGTAAAAACCCAGGAGGAGACCCTGGGGGAGAACCCCATTTTCCTCTCTGCACAAATCTCTCCAGAGCCTCAATAGATTTCCAAAGTCTCACCTGTCTCCCACTCCCACCTGTTCCCTGGTTTCTTCTCCCTCCCAGGGTGAGGAGGTCCCAAGCCCCTCTCACCTGGGCACCTTCAAATGCCACCAGGGACCAGGGAAGGCTTTTATGTCTTGGCACTGCCCAGCCCCTAGGGGGCCCCCTGCACCACCTTAGGCCTGAGGCCTCCCTAACCTTCCCCACTGGCACCAGATCATTCCTCCCCTCCCCAGAAGCTGTGAAGGTCAACATGCCAAGACATGCGGACCTGACAGCACCCAAAAGGAAAGGCTTCTGCCAGCCCTTCCTGAGGGTCTCCAGCTCTCACCAACTCCCCTCCCGCCCAGCACTCGCAGAGCAGAGGGGCACTCTAGCCCACGAACACCAGACCCTGCTAGTGGGGAGTCCCACTGTCCATCTTTCTTTCCCTCTCCTTCCCACACACCCTACATGCACCCCACTCAGGTCCCCCAGCCCTGGTCCCAGGACAGCTAAGGTCAGAGGAAGCCCCTCTCAAGAGAAAACAGTTCCCAGGTTTCCAGCTGGTCAGCTTCCCACTGCGGCTCCTCCAGGGACCCCCTGGATTCTGCACCTCAGCCCCTCACCCATTCCCATGACACCCCCTGCCTTCCCCCTGACAATATTCTCCCTGGACCCTCCACTACTCCTGGGCCCCAATGAGGAAAGGGGACAGAAATTTCGTACCCCTTCCAAGGCCAGGGGGCACAGGAGGGGCGGTTCTGGGCAGACAGGGGCCAGGTGTCCTTCTCTGGGGGCCTCTGAAGGTCATACTGTGGCCAGGCAGCCACTCCTCCCCCTCCTCCCTACTTGGAGGCCTGTAGCCAAGGCCTTTGTGCCAGGGTCTGAGGAACTTGTGGTGTTAGCAGCGACCCCTGTCCATGGCTTTCCTCGTGCCTTCTCTCCAAGGGAATTCTGGCTGAGGGAAGGCATCAGGGAGGAGCGGAAAGGGACCCTTTAGGTGGCTTTCAGAAGCAAGTTGGGTGGGCAAGTTTGGAGTTCCAAAAAACCACCTGCTCCAGCGCTGCCTTTCACCAGGACAAAGTGTGTGCAAGGCTGGCAGGAGCTCCTTTCCAGGGTTCACGAAGAACTATTCCCATGCTGCCTGTGTCACAGCAAATTTCAAGCCATTTCTCCAAAAGGGTAAAGTGGGGCAATGACTCTCTTCAAACCCTCCCTTGACCCACCCCCAGAGAGTTAAAGCACAGCTCACTCGGAACTGTTGTGGAGGGAAGGGAAGCACACTGTCACCAAGTCGGGACTTTCGGTGGAGTGTGACAAAGCACCCGGTGGGCTCCCGCGCCACGACTTCTGACAGTGATCATCCTTTCCCTGGACTCTGGGGCCAGAAAGGGGTTAGATGGATCTTCTCCGCAGAGAGGAATGAAAATAAAAGGGGTGACAGGGCTTTCTCTCCGCGATAGAAAGGAAATGGGTAAAGAGAAGGGGCGTCAGGAAATTCCTCCTAGCACTGGGCAGGGGTAGGGTCTGGAGACAGTAGGAAGGGGTAGGGATGGTTCTTCGGATCCCCGGGCTGGGGCTACCTCGCGAGGTCACCTTCCCGCGGAGGGCTGGCGGGGGGAGGGGTGCCGCTCGCCACTCTGGGCTCCCCATTCGGGCAGCCGAGGCTCCGGGAACACGCGGCCGGCCAGGCCCGGGCTGATGTAATCGGCTCCGCGCCGCGCGCACCCGGCCGGGCGGGGGAGGGCGGGCACCGAGCGGGACGCGAGCGGAGACGGGCGGGGTTGGCGCGGCGCAGGTGGCCCAGCAGGGAGGGGGGGTCCCCGCCGCAATCTACCCCAAAACTTTTCCCAAACTCGCGGCGAGGGCCGAAGAGACCGAGGGGCAGTGACAGCAAGCCCCCTCTCCCTCCTGCGCCCTGCCCCCTCCACGCTCTCTGCCCTCCGGCGGTCCAAGGTCCGAGCACCCCCCTGCCGGCTGGTCTCTGGCTCCCGCCCCCGCTGCCCGGACTTCCAGTTCGTCTGGGACCAGCGGCCGGGAGCAAACTTCAGCCGGCAGCGGCAACGCAAGCCCAGCCCCCTCGGCCTCCTCCTCCGGCTCCCGCCCTCGGCTGGTCGGCCCAGATCGTACGTGCGGTGACTCCGGTGGGTGGGCAGGGCCCGCGTGGGCGGTGAGCCTCTCTCCGGGTGCCCTCCCACCTAGCGCGCGCCCCCTCCCCCTGCACCTAAGACGACAGAGGGGGACGCCGCGCGCCTGGTGCCCATGGACCCGCGTGGGGCACGGAGCCCCCACGCGCGCGCTCGCACGCACGTCCCCAGCCGGGAGAGGCGCTCGCAGCTGCCCGCGGCGCCAGCCGGGCACGACCACTTACCTTGGCATGGTGGAGGTACAGCAGCAAGGCAAGGCTCCAATGCACCCAAGAGAGCAGAAAGTTCATGGTTTCGGAGGCCCGACCGGGGCCGGCGCGGCTCGCGCTCCCTCTCCGGCTCGGGCTGTGGGGCGGCCCGCTCTCCTCGGCGCCTCGGCGAGCTCCTCTTCCTCCCCGGGCCGAGGCCCGGGCCAGGGCCTGGGGCGCGCGCGCGGCTGGAGCACTGTCTGCGCACACCGCCGCCTCACCCGTCCATGAGCCCGGCTTCCAAGCGCCGAGTCGCCACCGCGGCCCCCTCTCTTCTTCCTTCTCTTCTTCCTCCTCCCCCTCCTCCGGCTGCGGCTCCTCCCGGCCCGAGCTAGCACTTCTCGCGGCTCCGCTCGGCTCGGCTTCCCCGGCGCGGACCACGGCTCCTCCGAAGCGAGAACAGCCCAGAAGTTGGACGAAAAGTTTCAGTGCGACGCCGCGAGCCCCGACCCCCTCCACCCCGCCTCCGGGCGCGGGCTCCGGCCCCTGCCCGCGGCTCGCCGCGGCGTCCACTGTCGGCCGCTGGCCGGGGAGGAGGTGGGCGCTGGGGCTGGGGGCGGTGTCTGTCTGTCTGTCCGTCAGCGCTACTGGTCCGCTGCGGGATCCCAAGGGGGAGGGCTCACGCCGCGCTCCGGCGGTCACCCCCAAAAGCAGGTCACTCACTTTGCCCCTGTCCCTCTCGCTGCTCGCACGCCCGCGCGCTCTCTCTGACCCCGTCTCTCTTTTCCTCGACTTCTCTCTGGAGCTCTTGCTACCTCTTTCCTCTTTCTGCTGGTTTCCAAAATCCACAGTGATTTGGGGAAGTAAAGCAATCTCCCCAAGCCGTCGGCCCGATTCAAGTGGGGAATGGCAAGCAAAAATAAATTAAAACGGGAAACAATACAGTTTAAAAAAAAAAATGTTTAAGAAAAAAGAAGAGGGATAAACCCCGGATCAATGAATATCAAATTCCAGCACGGAGCGCCCTGGCGGGTGAGTCCGCTGACCAGTCCACCTAGCCGCGGCGCCTCCCGACAGAGCGCTGGTGCCAGCCCCCAGCGCCACGACCTCCGAGGTACCCGGCTGCCCCAAGCCTCCGCGATCCTCCCCGCTACCAGCCGACTTTAAAAAAAGAGGGTGCCTGGCTCCGCCCCGCCGGGACCCCGCCCCCGGCCCGCCCCGGGGGGCGGGGACAGGCGAGCCTCAGCCCCTCCACACGCGGCTCGGGCCCGGGCTCTGCGGACGCCCAGTGAAGCCTGGCCCGCAGCCCGCCGCAATGAAGGGGAAGCTCGACCCCCACCAAGGTTCACAGCCTGAAAATTACCCATCCGCCCCCGGAAACTCTGTCCAGAGACACGCGCCCGCGGGGCATTGGCGAGGAGGGAGCAGGAAAGTGAGGTTACGTGCGGACAGGGCCTGAGAGCCATTCCCTCTCTGCTAGGAATATTGAAGGGGGCAGGGGAAGGCGGACAGCCGGACAGGGACGGGTGGGGAGAGGGACACACAGATCTATTGGAATCCTGGAGTGACCCCTGGCCTTCTCCCTGCTCCAACGCCCTCAACCCCTACACGCACACGCACACGCACACGCACACACTCACCCACACAGACACACGTCCTCACTCTCGAAGACGCTGCTCGCTCCATTCACCCAGCTTCCCTGTGGTGGCCGAGCGCCCCCTAGTGACTGCCGTCTGCACACCCCGGCTCTGGCTAAAGAGGGAATGGGCTCTGGAGAGGGGGTGGGGGAAGTTTGCTCCTGAACCCCCTATTTCTGACGTCCCAAACAGCTACATATTTGGGACTGGAGTTGCTTCATGTACAGAGAGCCCAGGGCTAGGCACAGGGGGCACAGTGTGTCCCTCTGACAATGTGCCATCTGGAGCCCTCATCTGGCCCGCAGACATCAAAGTGAGCGGCAGCCAACAGGCTGGAGTGACTGGGGTCCTTTGGGAAGTGTCCAGGGATGCTTCCCTGGGGGGAAGAATTTGGCACCAAGTTTGTGGAGCTGAGAACGGGAAGCTGTGTGGTTCCGGGGTTAGTCAGTGACTGGGAGGGAAGAGGACCTGTTGGAGCCCACGTATGCACTGTGGAGTCTGGCAAAACCCAAAGGGGGAGGCAACTGGGCAGACAGAGGCCCTTGTTCCTGCTGCCCCCCCAACCCCAGATGTTGCCAGGGAACTGAGGCCAGGGGGCTGGTGGGGGCGGATGGAGGCCAGGGCCTGCGTGATGATTCAAACCTACCCGCCAGCACTAAGGAACGTCTGTAGGCCAGCTGCCCAGAGCTCCCACCAGGCCAGGGGCCAAGGCTTCTATCAGCCTAAGCCCAGACTCATAGCTCATCTTCTGAACAGAAATGAGGGTTTCTTCTCAGCTCCCCCATTCCCTCAGGATCCCTTGGCTACTTCTCCAGGCTCATAGCTTCTCCCTTCTCCTTCCCCCAGTCCCCTCCCTTACCTCCAAGCCGCCTTTTCCTCCAGCTCTCCACATCTTCCCTAAGTGCTCCCGAAGGCCCCTATCCCATTCTTACCTATAGGAACCAACTTGGAAAAATTCCTGACTGGGTTCTGACCCGGCTATTTCCAGGCTGCTCCAGGGAACAAAGTTGGGGTTCTGATGCTTGTGGGAAGAGTGGGACCAGTCAGTCTGATTGTCCACCCGGATCTTGCCAGGGTCTGGTCTACAGCTGGCATAGCCTCTGTGGAGGCATGGACCCCAGTGGGAATGCAGCAATTTCCCTCAATTTGACCAAAACGCTCCAAGGAGCTTACCCATTCAGCCGCATCCTCAGCACATGGTGCTGTGGTTTGGTGGAGGTGCTAGGTTACCTCCCCGGTACCCCCAGTTCCATCAGTGTGGTGTCCTAAGGCCCTTATGAGAAGGGCTGGCTCCCACCCACCCCAACCCTCCCTTTCCATCATTCATGCACTAGTCCTGTCTCCACCACTTGGCAGGCTCCCTAGAAGCAAGGACAAGGTCTTCGTACAGTTAGTAAATGTTTATTTCCTGGCTAAGGGCCCCCTCCCAGGCAGGCCTCCTCACCTGGGCTCCATGCTCTAGGCTGATGAATGGGATATGGAAAGGAAGCCACTAAGTTTCCTCCTTGTGTGCCTCTAGCACCCCAGGAGCACAAGCTGTAGGCATCTTGGCAGGGACCCCTCCCTCATCCCTACCTTGGGGCAGGATGGAGGTTCTGAACCCTAAAGGCTCATTCTGGCCCCCTCCCTTGCATCCTTTCTCAACTCAGCCTTCTTCAGCCCCTAAAAGAGCCAACAGACCTGAAAGAGCAGGTCTTAGTAAAAAACAAACAAACAAATCTGAAGTTAAGAGGTGGCTGGAGGGGTTCCAAGGAGGGATAACCATCACCTGTCACTCCATGACCCCAGGCACCCCCACCCCATAAGCCAACTGTCCTCCATGGTGGTACCCAGTGAGGTGTGTTACAACTATCTGTTTGTATTTCCCTGTGGGCTTTGCCCAGGGATCCAGGGGAGTGAGGGCACAGAATTCCTTTTATATAAAGCTAGGATTACAACCTGGCCTAGGGGTTTTTGAGCTACCCTCTTTAGGGTGAGAAAGTATGGCCCACCTCCCCCTTTCATTTTGGAGATATAACCTGGCTGTGACCTGGAGGGGTTAACTCTGGATCCCATGCCCCAATGTGTTGTCACCGGCCTTTACAACAATGCACTCTTATGGACTCAGCCAATGCCCACATTGTCACCAAATTAAAAGCTCAAGTCACCTAGTCATCTGAGCCTTCAAAAAAGGGGAAAAAGCACAAAACAACAATCACAAGACGACAGGTGTCTCTGTGGCACCTTCCCTCCCATGAGCTTAGCCCCTTGAACAAACTTGATTTCACTTATCCTCCCCTCCCTCCCCAGGCTGCTGCAGGGGAGGGGGTGTCAGAGCAGACTGTCTCCCCAAAGAATCCTCCAAAGGCCCAGAGAGGGCACAAAGGGGCCCAGGGTCACCTAGCAGATTCGGGGAAGGGGCAGTGAAGCAGAGAGCGGCCCACACAGAGGTCATGCTGGCTCCCAGTTGAGGGGCCCACTTGGAGGGCCTCACCTTGGGAGCCCAGTGGCCACTCCCCACAGCCTGTGGCTCTGAAGGCAGTTCAGAAGGAGCCAAGGAGGAAGGGGAAGGTGTTCCAGGTGAGGGGGAAGGGGAGAAAGGGGTGGGGGTGGAGAAGATCATGAAAGGCAGCCAGGAGCCAGCGGTGGCCCCAGACAAAGAAAGTAGTGATTGGGCCAAGGCACAATAGTTGTACTTTGTCCTGATGTCCTGTCAACTCCAATATTCAGGGAAACTCTTGTCTGTGTGGGTGTGGGTGGTTAATCTAGAAGCTGGTGGATGAAGGGACAAAATCCCTCCTGAAATTGGAAAGAAGGTGAGGAAACGGTCACTGGGTCTTGTTGTTTTCCACACATTTCTCCAAGTGGTTTCACTGCGATAGAAGGAGGTCTTGTCCTTCACTCCATCCCCTGACTCCCAGGTGACTAGCAGGACACTGATCTGCAGGAAGGGCAGGATACAAACCTGGTGAATTGAAGGAGAGAGAATTGGGTTGGTTCCCCTCAATTCCCTGACCCCGACTGTGGGTCAATCTCTCTCTCTCTCTCTCTCTGTCTCCCCCCCGCAACCCCCTCAACCCCTGCCTAGGTCTTTGCAACAAAGCATTAAAAAGACAAAGAGAAAGCAAAGAAAAGGGCCTGTTTGGTCCAGTGCCAGTGTCCTAGCCCCATGTGGATCTGGAGGCTTGACTTGAGGTAATGATAAGTAATGATGGCCAATTGATCAAAAGATTGGAGCAGAGGAAGCCAAGGAGGATAACTCTCCCAAGAGGATCCAGTCAGGAAAGGGGGAAGGAATGGGGAAGAGGACCTAGCTGGAGAGAGGGCAGGGCAGTCACTGTCTGGGGAAGCTTACCTACCCACACCACTCCTAGGCCCATCAACCTCTGCCTCTCCTTCATAGGCCCCAGTCTAATCCCCTGACACTAGGCTGTCCCTGATGAATTGCATCTCCCCAACAGCCCCAGGCATGCCGAACTTCTGATACCCCAATCTCTGCTGTTCCTCCAAGTCTGACCCCAAAACATGCCCATTTCTGCCCCTGTTCACATCCTCCACCCCTACCCTGTCTTGGAGGGAGTCCCTCTGCTGGGAAGAAGGTGTAGCATGTGGTGGCAACTAAGGTCCCAAAGCTGTATCTGCCCTTTTGACCTGGGCCTTGCCTGAGAGCTGAGCTAAGCTCGAATTTGTGAATATTTGTAGGGACTACCAGGCACCAGGCTCTATGCTGATTTTACAGGAGGTACAGGGACATCTAGGCAGGGCAGTGGAAAGTACAGGGACTTCGGAATCAAATGGACCCAAGTCGCATTCCTGGCTCTGCCACTCTAACTGTGTGGCCTTAGGCAGGTTATTCAACCTCTCTGAACCACAGCTCCCCTCATCAAAAATAGGAGTAAAGATCCCTGCCTTAGAGAGTTGCTGCACACAGACAAATGTGCACACAGCTGCCCCAGAAAGCAAGATGAGAAAGAGGCCCTGGGGGAAGCGTTATGAAGGTGTGGAAGCGAAGAGCCAGACTGGCTAGACTGGGCATCTGGAAGGGCTTGGGAAGTGGCTTGGGACATGCATTCCACAAGCAATTATTAAACTCAGCTTGTTAGCTCTGCTTTGTGTTGAACCCTGGGACTACAACAATGTCGGTGAGCTGGACCTACCTCTAGTGTTGGCTTTTTTCAGGTGTTGGCTTGTCTGGATGGAGGTAAACCAGAAGAGTAAACCAAAAGCGGGAATTCTCTGAGGGGCACTTATTTCCTGGGAGTAGGGGAAGGCTTCCTGGAGGAGATGATACTTGATACTTAAGTTGGGTCTTTTTTTATTATTATTATTTTTTATTTTGAGACAGGGTCTCACTCTGTCACCCAGGCTGGAGTACAGTGGCGCACGGTCTCGGCTCACTGCAACCTCTGCCTCCCAGGTTCAAGCAATTATCCTGCCTCAGCCTCCAGAGTAGCTGGGACTGCAGGTGCCTGCCACCACACCTGGCTAATTTTTGTATTTTTAGTAGAGATGGTGTTTCACCATGTTGCCCAGGCTGGTCTCGA